CCCCCCCATGTGACCCCATTTTTCTGCCTCCACCTCCTCTGAACTTGTGCCCCCTGATCCCACCATGCCTTCCTGGCTCAATACCTGACCCCACAGTGACCCCTGACCCCATGCTCCCCCCAGAAGAGATCCAGCAGACCCTGGAGCGCCTGCATCGCTCCCAGCAGCAGATCCGCATCGACATGGTCGACCTGGAGCAGTGAGTGGGGACCCCCCCCACCCTCACCCCACAACTCCAGACACTGGCCAGGCCTGTGGGACATCACCCAGTGTTGTCCCCCTCAACTCAACCGGACCCTGGAGGGTGGGCAGAAATGGGAGGGGTGGGGTTAGGGGGCCAGAGGACGGGGATGGGTAGGGTGGGGGAAGGTGGATGGAGCCCTCACCTACCTGCTCTGCCCCCCACACCAGGCCAGGGCTGCTGCTCCCTGACAACCTGGCAGTGATGGAAGCCCTGGAAGATGCGCCTGAGCCCTTCTTTGGAGTGATGGAGCCGCCCTTGCCCAGCCCCCGCTGCATCCCCCAGGTTCGGCTTCCCATTGCCCCAGACCCTTAGATCAGGGAACCAGTGGGTTGTTGAGCGAGACAACGCTCGGGAGACAGGAGATGTCATTTTATTAATGTAAATTTATTCAGCAGACCACACCTAGAAATGCTCTCATTACTTTGCAAGCTTGGTGTGGAGGGGGGCAGATCCATAGCTATGGAGGGGGTGGAATGACTGGGGTTGGCAGTGACACCTTTCCTCTTCTGTTCCCCCCAGATCCGCCATCTCCTGGAGGCCCCAACACCCGAGCGGCCTCTCCCACAGCCGCCCTGTAAGTGTGGCCCAGTCTAACCAGTGGCTCCAGTTGCCCCCAGCCGTGAGCCCAGTCATAGAGTGGGTCTCAGTTGCCAGGCCCCCCCAGACATGGTATGCCACAGCTTCTCAGTGCCACCATTCAACCACCACTTTGCCATCACTGGTGTCCTAGTATAACCAGTAACTCCTTTCCCAGTCAGACCACCATCCACCCACAACATAATCCCAGTCTGCCTGTACTACCACTTCTGCTGCTAAGTCTGGTGTGGCTGGGTATCGGTGGTGTCCCAGTATATCCTGGAGCTTCTTACAGAGTCAGACCAGTAGCCCCCCCACTCTGCAGTATAATCCTAGTCTGCCCAGTACCACCAGTTCTGCTCAACCCGGTTTGGGTGTCCATGCAGAGGTGCCCACAGGTCCCAGTTTCCTGGTGCTGTCCTGACTTCCCATTCTCCTTGCAGCCTCCCCACTCACAGTGTCACCTGAAGCCATCACCCTGCGGGAGCCCGAGCCCATCACCCTGCTGGAGATTGAGGTGTGGCTGGGGGTGGGGGGAGCAGGGACACAGGTGTCTGGGGGGTTTCCAGGCATCTGGGCAGGGAGGATGGAGGTCTCCCTGTCATCCAGGCAGGTTTGGGGGATCCCAGGTGTCTGGGGGTGTTTGAGGGGGTCCCAGACATTTGGGTGGGGGGAACTGGGGGGTTGCAAGGGCTCGGCCTGATGTCCCCCCCTCCCCCACCACCACAGGGTGAGCAAGATCTGCCCGAGGTGACAGCGCGGGAACTGGCCTTACTGGCACAGCTGGAAGATGAGGCCCTGCTGCCTCCCCCGCTCCCCGCTGGTGAGTGCAGGTTTGGAGTGGGGGGGAGCAGGGATCAGGGCTTCCCCTTTTACCTGGCCTGATCTCACCTCCTCTCCCCACAGAGCCCCCCAAGGAGCCCGAGGGACTTCCCCAGCCTTCCTCCCCCACCCGGTAAGCAGGGGCTAGAAGGTGTGGGGTCATGGGGGTGCTTACAGGGGATATGGGAGGTTATGGGGGTTACAGGAAGCTTTGGGGAGATTATAGGGGGCTTTAGGGTGGTAATAGGGGCAGGGAGGTTACCAGGGGTTAGGTAGGAGGGTGAGAAGGGGTTAGGGGGTATATAAGTGGCTATGGGGAGTACGTGGGGAGTTAGGAGGGCATAGGGGTGGTTACAGGGAGCAGAAAAGTAGTTACGGGGGCATGGAGCAATTAGGGGGCTATGCTGGGGGTTATGAGGGTTATAGGGGAACAGGGGAGTTAGGGGCCTATGGAGGGTATGTTGTAGGATATGTTGGGGGTGTCACAGGAGGCATGTGGCTGGTTTGGTTTGGAAGGGACCTCAGGTCACATCTAGTCCAACCCCTGCTTAAAGGACCATTCCCAACTGGATCATCCCAGCCAAGGCTTTGTCTACCCAAGTCTTAGAAACCTCCAAGGTCTGAGGTTCTCTGGTTAGCCTGTTCCAGCGCTTTACTGCCCTTCTCAGGAGAGAGATTTTTCCTAATATCGAACCTCAACTTCTCTTGCTGCAACTTTACCCCATTGCTCCTTGTTTTGCCATCTACCACCACTCTTTGGACCCACCCTGCAGATAGTTGAAGGATGCTATTAAATCCCCGCTCAGTCTTCTCTTCTCCAGACTAAAGAAGCCCAGTTCCCTCAGCCTCAGCTCATAAATCCTGTTTCCCAGCCCTCTAACCATGCTTGTTGCCCTCAGCTGGACTCTCTCCAATGTGTCCACATTCTTTCTATAGTGGGGGGCCCAAAACTGGACACAGGACTCCCTATGAGGAGAGACTGGGGCACCTGGCCCTCTCCAGCCTCTGCAAGAGAAGGTTGAGAGGCGCCCTTGTGGCTGCCTATAAGTTCATCATGGGGGCACAGAAGGGAATTGGTGAGGTTTTATTCACCAAGGTGCCCCCGGGGGTTACAAGAAATAATGGCCACAAGCTAGCAGAGAGCAGATTTAGACTAGACATTAGGAAGAACTTCTTCACAGTTAGAGTGGCCAAGGGCTGGAACGGGCTCCCAAGGGAGGCGGTGCTCTCCCCTACCCTGGGGGTCTTCAAGAGGAGGTTAGATAGGCATCTAGCTGGGGTCATCTGAACCCAGCCCTCTTTCCTGCCTATGCAGGGGGTCGGACTCGATGATCTATTGAGGTCCCTTCTGACCCTAGCATCTATGAATCTATGTGGCCTCAGCAGTGCTAAATAGAGGGGGAGAATCACTTCCCTCCATCTGTTGGCAACACTTCTGCTAACACAGCCCAGGATGCTGTTCAAGGGCACACTGCTGGCTCATATTCAGCCTATTGTCCACTGTAACCTCCAAGTCCTTTTCTGCAGAGCTGCTGCACAGCCAGTCAGCCCCCAGCCTGTATTGTTACATGGGATTGTTCCATCCTAAGTGCAGGACTTTGCACTTCTCCTTACTGATTCTCATGAGATTCCTTTTGGTTCAACCCTCCAATTTGTCTAGGTCACTGAACTCTAGCCCTACCCTCCAGCATATCTACTACTCTCCCCAGCTTGCTGTCATCTGCAAACTTGCTGCAAACCTGCCATCTTCCAGGTCGTTGATGAAGATATTGAACAAAACCGGCCCCAGGACCAACCCCTCGATTACTGGCTGCCAACTAGACATTGAGCCATTGATTACTATTCTCAGAGCCCAATGCTTTACCCAGTTTTCTATCCAGCTTACAGTCCGTTCATCCAGTCCACACTTCCTTAGCTTGTTTGCAAGAATGCTGTGGGAGAATCCCACATATCAGAATCCTTGTTTAAGTCAAGGTATGTTATGTCCACTGCCCTCCCCACATCCACAGAACCAGTCCTCTCATATTAGAAGGCAATCGGGCTGGTCAGGCATGACTTACCCCTGGTGGATCCGTGCTGACTGTTCCTTATCACCTTCAAGTGCTTAGAAATGGATTCCTTGAGGATCTGCTCCATAATTTGTCCAGGGACTGAGGTAAGGCTGACTGATCTGTAGTTCCCTGGATCCTCCTCCTTCCCTTTCTTAAAGATAGGCACTATATTTTCCCTTTTCCAATTGTCTGGGCCCTTTCCTGACGGCCACAAATTTTCAAAGTTGATGGCCGTGGCTCTGCAATCTCATCAGCCACTTCCCTCAGCACCCCTGGGTGCATTGTGTTCAGCCCCATGGACTTGCACATATCCAGCTTTTCTAAGTAGTCCCTAACCTGTTTTTTCACCACTGTTGGCTACTCACCTTCTCCCCAAACTGTGCTGCCTGGTACAGTAGTCTGGGAGCTGCCTGTGAAGCTAAGGTGAAAAAGGCAATTGAGCACTTCAGCCTTTTCTGCATCCTCTGTCACTGGGTTGCCTCCCCCATTCAGTAAGGGATCTACACTTTCCCTGATCCTCCTCTTGCTACCAACATCCTTGTGGAAACCTTTCTTGTTACCTTCTTGCCCCTTGCTAGCTGAAACTCCAATTGCGCTTT